AATATTCTGGGAGCTTTGGTGTTTCAGTGGTAGAATTCTCACCTTCCATGCAGGAAACCCAGGTCCAATTCCTGGCCAATGCACCTCATGCACAGCCACCATCCGTCAGTGGAGACGTGTGTTGCTATGATGCTGAACAAATTTCAGCAGAGTTTCCAGACTAAAACAGCTAGGAAGAAAAGCCTGGTGATCTACTTCCCAATGAAAATCCTACGGATCACAACAGTCTGATCTGCAACCGATCATGGGATGGTGCAATGCATTCCATTGTGCTTGGGGGCCCCATGAGTAGGGGAGGGGGCAGCTAACAACAATAGTATCCTGGACAGAAAAGTTTGGAAATCAACTATCACTTTTGTTATCTTTGATAACTTATAGGAATAGCTTGTTGAAGACAAGACTTTCAATTGTGCCATGCGTTTGCTTCTACATAGGTACGCTCCCCTTGGCATCCTCTTCCTGATTGCAGGGAAAATTGTGGAGATGGAAGACATGGGAGTGATTGGGGGGCAGCTTGCCATGTACACGGTCACAGTCATCGTCGGCCTACTCATTCACGCAGTCATTGTCCTGCCCCTTCTCTACTTCTTGGTAACACGTAAAAACCCTTGGGTTTTTATTGGAGGCTTGCTGCAAGCACTCATCACAGCTCTGGGAACCTCCTCAAGGTATGTATATAAATGTGACTTATTCTTACAGTAAAAGTCATCTGAAATTTACTTTGAATCAGAGCCCTCTGGTTGGGGGTACCAAAAACCAAACCAGTTGCTGTGAAGTCAATTCTGACTCATGGCGACCCCATGTGTGTCAGAGTAGAACTGTACTCCATAGGGTTTTCAATGGCTGATTTTTCAGAAGCAGATCTCCAGGCCTTTCTTCCGAAGAGTCCCTGAGTGGATTGAACCACCAACTTTTTGGTTAGCAGCCAAGTCCGTTAACTGATTGCACCACCCAAAGACTCCAGGTTGGGGGCAGAGAGGAGCATTTTGTCTTGGGTTTTAACCTTTCAGGCATATGGTGCTGTTCAGACCTACTTGGGATCCAGGGGGATGGCTAGTTATATACCCCTTTTGGGGACAAAATGGAAATCAACTATCCTTTTCTACACCCACTTCCGGTTTACATTTGCCTGAGGGAGAAATGACAGTGACTTGGCACAGGCTGTTGTGATGGGTAATAATCACAAGGATGCCTTACAGAGGAACCCAAAAGAAGAACTGCCAGTTGACCCCATGAGGGAACACACTGTTCCTAACCCTGCTCCCCTCTTTCTAGAAGTGCTGACTCAGTTCTCTTTAGGACATGGGAGAGGAAGGAACTCTGTCCAAGAGACCAAACACACAGATAGGGTTGGAATTACCAGACGGTCAGCTGACATTCCCTGTTTCGCTGTTCTCAGTTCTGCCACCCTACCCATCACCTTCAAGTGCCTGGAGGAAAACATTGGCGTGGACAAACGCGTCACAAGATTCGTGCTCCCTGTGGGGGCCACCATTAACATGGATGGCACTGCCCTCTATGAGGCCTTGGCTGCCATTTTCATCGCTCAAGTGAACAACTTTGAACTGAACTTTGGACAGATTATTACAATCAGGTATGAAGAAAGAGTTCTACACAACATTTTCTTAAGAATGGCTTTAAAAGACAAGATGGTGATCAGGGATTGGTGAAGAAACTGATTGAAAAGGGCATCACACAAACAGGAGGTTAGGGTTCGGGGGAACACTTTTGTTTTTTTGTTTGTTTGTTTTCTTTTTTTTAATTGTACTTTAGATGAAGGTTTATAGAACAACTAGTTTCTCATTAAACAGTCAATACACATATTGTTTTATGATATTGG